CGAGGAACTTTCTGGCGGATTCAAGGAAGCTCATGCAGTCTTGAATCACTTGTCTGAATGCGGGAAAGCAAAGTACCTTGTAACAAACAAGAAGGATTTAATGGAGGTAATGTTAGTAGGAATGCTGTTCTCCATTTGCATTTCATTTATCAATACTATGTTTGGTTCCACAAAGAAAGAGGAAAGGGTGGATGAAAAAGAAATTCATCGCTTCCCTTTCAAGTATTAGTCATCATTTATGGCCAGCTATTTGGTATAATTGAAAGAGAAATAAAAGAGACCTGTTTTTCTCTCCATTTTATAGTTGTATGCTACCCCTCTGTTTTAACATCTCTCATTTTACTTTCATGTATAGCAAGGGAAATAACCCTTACCTCTTCTCGTTTACTTTTCCTCCTTTCACCTTTCTCTTTTCAAATAGTATTACTATGAAAGCTATACCAAGAACGAGAATGGGGTGGAAATGGCGAAACTTATTTTCTTTCTTTTTCTTTTATTTTTGTGATGAGAACAAGCAGCATTCTTTTGAGTTTTTGGCAAAAAACATCACTGTTGTCTGGGCCCAAATTTTACTTAATCCCTGTAGTATACCATTTAACAAAAAAACATCCCTATGTATTAAAACATTAAACTTACTAGTCCAAAAATAGTGCGATGAACGAGTTAGTAGTATTGTATTGAAGCAATAGTTCACTATACTATTTTACCGGGCTCGCCTTACCTGTAGCAATCAAGAACATCGTCATATGGATGCCCTACAATCTTTATTGATTTCCATTCCATAATAATTGGTTTCTGCTGTTTCTCCTTTATGATTGGAACCTAAAACTCTAGATCTTGACTACCTCTTAATACTGCCATATTTACTGCTTTTGTTTGTTAAACCATTGGAAGCTTGGCTCGCCAATCCTTGAACACTGCTAGTAATATGGACGGATGTAGTTTTTCCATACAGGGGGTGAAAGTCTCTCTTTCAGCACGAGCACTTTCTGGCACAACAAGTCTAGATTTTGATGTGCTGCATTTGATTGGGACGGTAGAAAAACTTGAGCATCAGCTTAATGTGATAGATCAACGCTGGAAAAGGTAAGGACTATCATCCTCCATTATTAAATGCTCATACGAACTGAGAAGAGATTCCAACAATAAATGCATCTGTCGTGTAAAACTGCAAAAATAAGTGCTTCATCCAACAAAAAGAAAATCAAGAAGGAATATTGGAAAGTGCTTTCCTGCAGCCAGAAGAGGGCTAGCATGCTCAAAATCGTTTGACGTAATCTTATTGTGAAGTTCAGACTTAATAGCTCTATTCAGGGCTCATAAAGGTAGCACTGTTCCTCAAAGTTAACCACAATAATATGATGCTTGTTCTATGCGCAGGTCTAGAGAATCTGCTTTAGCTTCTCTAAAGCTTGGGAACAAACAGGTGGCTCTAAGGTGTTCAAGGGAAATGAAGCTGGCTTCTCTGAGTAGAGAAAAATGTACAGCGCTTTTAAACCGAGTGGAGGAAGTCCTTGCAATTATTTCTGATGCAGAAGCCTCAAAGGAGGTTGAATGATCTTCTCAGTAGTCCCTGGATATTATATCATGTGAAACTGTGCTTGTTCTAATCCTAAACTGACCAGTTGCAGATGACCTTATTAGTCCTTTTTGAACTGATTTGACAACTCTAAACTTAACCCTGATTAATGGCAGGTTTCTGAAGCCATTCGAATTGGCACACAGGCTATTAAGGAAAATGGGATCAATTATGATGAAGTTGAGCTGTGTCTACAGGAGCTGAATGAGTGTGTTGAATCCCAGAAGCAGATTGATGAAATTCTAGGTAGTTTTACACCCCAAAATTCGAGTCACATTCTTACCAGTATTAAAATTCAAGAGAAAGTGTTGATAGTTTTAACTCGATCGGTAAGCATGGTAGTGAAAATTCTTATATACTATTCACTGGAAAAACCATAACCAAATGGATTGAGCCTGTTTGTCGAAATATCTCTCCCAGTTCTAAAACTGATGGACAATAATGAACCTTATCAGGTTAATGTATATTATCTCAATTTGGTGTCAGGGCATCGCTTAATATGACCTTTGAGTGTGAAGATATTTCACCCATCAACTGATAAACCGAACAATTTGAACATATCTGCTCAATCTGATTAATTCTGATGAGTAATGAGTTAGCTGGCATTGTTTCTGTTCTAAAACTGCTAGTTTTCTGGCTCCTCCTCAGGATCAAATGTAGCAGTTGCAGAAATTGATGATGAAGATATTGAAGATGAGCTGAAGAAGCTAGAGCTGAATTTTGCTGAGGTACCGACTGAAACATCCACCAGTCATAGTGCAGTGGACGCTGTAGTAGCAGGAGGGCAGGAAACTACTGATGCGATGAGTGACTCCCTTGCGAACCTTCATATCTCACACCATGCAAGGAAGGACCTGGAGGCAGAACATGTTGTGGAGCCTATGGGTGACTCGTCAAATGATGTCAATCGGGAAGCTGCTCTGGCATAGCTAATTGCATTTAGGATCATGTTTTCTCCATGTTTTCGTACCGTGATGCCTGGTAGTCCAGCCATGATTGATAGTCTGCACCTTTCGTCTGCGGGGATCAGGGCACAATTGTTGCGTGAAACACTGTCAATATGAGATTATGCATTGACACAAGGGTGGGTCAAGGGAAGCTAGTAAAGCTTTTGCTTTAGGCCCGCTAAGTATTTGGGTCCCAAAAACGTTTTTAGTTGTGAATTTACCATCTTATTTATCCTTATAAAAATGGAAAGAAAGACTATCTAAATTTTAACAATAGAAATATTTTAGAACTTTGAATTAAGATATTCAAATCTTCATATTGATAAATAATAATTTTTACAATAAGATCCAATGTAATACCCCAAACTTTAGACAGAGTTCCACACGGGCAAAACACAAGAGGCATGTTGGGTATATAAGTTAATAAATCTTAGACCCTAGTGACGCGTTTTAAAGTCGTGAAGGCTTAGGCCCCAAGCGGACAATATCACTAGTGGGCTGAGCTGTTACTAGTGGGCATATCCCTGATGCTCTGATACCAAGTTTGTCACGACCGATTTTCTGAACAAGCCATGACCGGCACCCGATCACTAAACTTGACCAAGCGAACTATCTGCGCTTATCAAATCTATTATAACTTCAAACTTTATATGCAACAAGGCAATGCTTTAACCAAATACTTTTAATTAATTTAAATATCTAAAATAAACCAACTCTAAAACTTTATTCGTAGTGACTACTGAAATATTGCAAAGTTATTATCAATACATCTGAATCTTAACCCCCCGACTGTGTCTATGAAGCCTCTACTAATAAACTGACGCACTGCTCAGGATATGAGATTGCCTAGCTAGTTCTCCAAGTAAACAAAGAAATAACTAAATAAAGATGACTCAAAGGAATACTCCACGAACAAAAGCGGAGCTCACCAGTAGCACTGGAAGAGAGAGAAGTCCTAATTAGCCTGCTCGCCTGCAAAACCGGTTCCTACGTTGTACTGCAGATCAACGTAGGTTCCCAAAAGAGAACGTCAGTACCATCCATTGTACTCAGTGAGTCTCGACGACAGGGGACGAAACTTTAATAAAATATACATTACAAATAAAGATTCTGAATGCATGAAAAAAAAAGGTTCTAAGAAAAATTCTAAAATAATTGCATAGTGGTAGTTTATGAATATTCTAAAAGAAATTCATTTATTTTTATTTCTTATAAAAAAAAATACTTCACTTTATACTTCGGGAGTTCCAACTATCCTGACTTATTTTTGTCTTAGTCACCGTGTGATTGGCACGGGTTCGATCCCAACCTGATCGAATAGGCCCAATCCACGAGATGTCACTCGCTTCATGATTCTCAGCGCTCATGTATCATACCTTAGCCTGGCTAAGTAAATTCTCAGCAACGATACCCTCGGCTCGTGTGCTCCCTACTTTGGCACAAATAGTTTCAGAAAGTCAACGCCTTGGTCAGGACCCCCGGCCTGGACGATGACCCCTTCTCAGAATAGAGGATACTCTCAAAAATCTTTTCTTTCTAAAACTTCTTCTTGTGACTTTTAAAGTCTAAATCTTTTCTGGAATATCCTATACATACTCATACTGGTATCCTTATATGTAAAGCATAACATAAGAATGAAATAAACATTCAAAAGTATTTCTAAAGATTCTTACTTCTTCATGAATTTTCAACATGAAAATGGCATATAAGAATAACACAACAATCTGAAAATTTATGCACATATATCATAATAAATCATCTAAACTTTAGCTAGAACAATTTTAAGTTAATAAGTACTTACTCGCTCCGATAAGTACAAATTAACTCTTTTAAGCAATTCATCAAACACCTTGTATGTATGTTTTTGTGAGTTAAACCACTTTGATAAAGGGTTGTATCCACTCACCTCAAAACTCTTCGAGCCAATACGTAGACCCCAGTTCAATTTATACCCGTCAAATAATTGATTCTACAACAACCAGTGCATTTTAATCAATTTTAAAGTTTCACACCTAAACATGAAATTTACTGTTGATACAGAGAAAGAAGGGAATTAACTATTCAATTCTTACCTACTACTACTACTACTACTACTACTACTACTACTACTGTAGGATAATTGATAATAGGGAATTTATATACCTAAGTTCAAGAATTAGTGATTTGTAAAGAAACCTAAAACTTTCCGCTGCATGCGTGAGTATTGAGCAGCAAGGCTACCTCTGCTCTGTTTCGTAGCGTTCTGTTTCTCTTTTTCGTATAAGGCTTGCATGAATGAACAGAAGTTTAAGCCTTCTGCTTTGTTCGTATAAGTCTTTTCAGCCTTCAGGCTTTTTAATTCTATTTTGTTTAAGGCTTTAAGCCTTTTGCCTTCCCACTTTATGGGCTCTAGGCTTGTCCTTTTTTTTTTAAACTTAACTAATAATTAATGATACTTATTTTTAATAATTAATAATATTAAAATTAATAATATTCCCTTGCTTGTATATCACGTTATTTATAAATAGAGAAGTCACTCAAAAGTCAATCATAAGGGTTTAAATCCGTAATAGAAGTAAAAATTTTATGCACTCAAGGCAAGATAAAAACAAAATTAAATTCTATATTTAGCGTGTCTTGAAGCTTTTATAGATTTGAGGAGTGTTACAATCTTTCCTCCTTAAAAGAATTCGTCCTCGAATATTGCTAGGGCCTTATTCTTAAGCTAACAATTATTCCCTATGTCCTTGAACTTCTTAAATTTTCTTAGCATTACTCACTTTCCAAAGGCCTCAAAATTTTGGCTAACTCCGTAAATTTTCAAAAATTTCGGCAGAGTCTCCTCTGTAAATTGGACTATCCAAAAATATCCCTGTCACCAATACCACAAATACACCAACAACAATCACATATACCATAACAAGCCATTAATAGGCACCATACACAGCTCATAAACTAGTTACTCACACTCAGGCAAGGAGGTACCACAATAACCAACCAAAATCTCAATCAAATCACCACACTTTAGCAAAAGTAAATCACTTTAATGAATTAAATGTACTCTAGCATTGTACTAAATTATTTAATAACTAAATATACTCTGACAGAAACTAAATTACTTCAACAACAAAGTTTAATCTAGCAAGGACATAAACACATGTTAACTTGTACTTAATAAATAAAATATAAATGCCAAGCCAAACCTAGGTTCACATACCTTGTTCATCAAATAAATAAGGATACTTCTTCCTCATATCTTCCTCGACCTCCCACATAGCCTCTTTTGAATCATGATTACTCTACAAAACTTTTACCGATACTAAATCTTTTGTTCTCAACTTTCTTACTTTCCTATCGAGAATTTCTATAGGTACCTCTTCATAAGTCAAGCCTTCTTTAATTTCTATAGTATCAGCATGTATTATGTGCGACTCATCATGAATGTACTTTCTAAGCATAGACACACAACGCTAGTTCATAAGCTAATTTTCCCTTCTTTTCTATAATCTCATAAGGTCCGATAAACCTAGGACTAAGTTTTCCTTTCTTACCAAATCTCATAACTCCTTTCATTGGTGAAACTTTCAAAAACACCTTGTCACCAACCATGAACTCTAAGTCACGATGCCTCTTGTCAGAATAGGACTTTTGACGACTCTGAGCCGCTTTCAGTCTTTCTCTGATTAGCTGAACTTTCTCTAAGGCCTCACAAACAAACCCTGGACCGATCAACGACACCTCTGCTGGTTCAAGCCAACCTACTGGGGACCTACATCTTCGCTCGTACAATGCTTCATAAGGAGCCATACCAATGCTGGCATGATAGCTGTTATTGTAAGCAAATTCTATAAGTGGTAAGTGATTATCCCAATTAGCTCCAAAGTCTATAACAGATGCTCGCATCATATCTTCGAGAGTATGAATGGTCCTTTCTGCTTGGCCATCGGTCAGTGGATGGAAAGCGGTGCTCAAATTGACCTTGGTACCTAATCTTTTCTGAAATGCCTGCCAAAAATGTGCCGTGAACTGAAGGCCTCTATTAGATATGATTGAAACTGGAGTACCATGCAATCGGACTATTTCTTTAATGTACAACTGCGCATATTGCTCTGCGGAATCTTTCGTCTTTATTGGTAGGAAATGCGCGGACTTTGTCAGTCGGTCTACAATAACCCAAATTGAATCATGCTTAAGGTATGTGCGAGGCAGACCTACTATGAAATCCATATTAATCATCTCCCATTTCCACTGTGGTATCTCTATATCTTGAGCTAGGCCACCAGGCCTCTGATGCTCGGCTTTGACTTGCTGGCAATTCAAACATTTGGCCACATGATCTGCTACTTGCTTCTTCATGCCTTTCCACCAATACAACTCTTTCAAGTCCAGATATATTTTGGTAGCACCTGGGTGGATAGAGTACCTCGAGCTGTGAGCTTCTTCCATTATGGACTTTCTAAGACCATCTATATCAGGCACACATAACCGATCATTGAACTTCAAAACTCCATCACTTCCTAGAGTGAAAGCAGTAATTTCTTTATTTCTGACTCCTTATTTTAACTTCAATAAATACAGATCTTCGTCTTGCTTAGCCTTAACATGCATAACAAGAGAGGATTGCGTTAAGGCATAAGCAGTTATACCTCTTTCAGTCTCATCCAATCTAATTCCATCATTTGCTAGTTTTTGAATTTCTCGACCCAAAGTTCGCCTTTGTACTACAAGATGGGCTAGGACATCCATTGACTTCCTACTAAGTGCATCTGCTACCACATTAGCTTTGCTTGAGTGATAAAGGATATTTATGTCATAATCCTTCAATAGCTCGAGCCACCTTCTATTGTCTCAAATTTAACTCTTTCTACTTGAAAATGTACTAGAGGCTTTTGTGATCTGTAAATACTTCACAATTCTCGCCATATAGGTAGTGTCACCATATCTTTAATGCAAACACCACTACTGCAAGCTCCAAGTCCTGCGTGGGGTAGTTCTTCTCATGATTCTTTAACTTCCTGGAAGCATAAGAAATAACTGTCCATCTTGCATAAGAACACACCCAATACCAACTCTGGAGGCATCATAATACACTGTGAACCCACCTGAACGTGTCGGCAAGGTTAACACACGTCTTCTTTAACTCTTGAAAACTCTACTCACAAGCATCTGACCACTGGAACTTAACAGTTTTCTGAGTCAACTTAGTTAATGGAGCTGCAGTGAGGAAAATCCCTCTACAAACCTTCTATAGTAGCCAGCTAACCCCAATAAACTCCTGATTTTGGTTGGCGTTGTCGGCCTTGGCCAGTTCATGACTGCTTCTG